TTCCATTATTTACCCTAGCCAAGATATGGAAGCAACCCAGGTGTCCATCCATCGATAAATGGACAGACAAGATGCGGTGTATGTACAAAGCACAGGAAACTAACAACGAGTGCAGGTCAGACAATTGGCACAGGCGAACCCACTTTCACTGTGGACGGCAATGCTGACTGGTGCACCCACTGTGGAAAGCAGCACGGAGTTTCCTCAGAACACTAACACTAGAACTGACATACAAGGCAGCAACACCAATTCTTGGTATTTGTTTAAAGAAGATGAAGATATTAAATGTACAGCTGTATGTGTATGTGTATGTATATGTATATATACACATATATGTATATATATACACATACACACACACACCACTGTGTCCATGCTCCATTATTTACCCTAGCCAAGATATGGAAGCAACCCAGGTGTCCCTCCATAGATGAATGGACAGGCAAGGTGCGGTGTATGTACACAGCACAGGAAACAGACAACCAGTGCTGGAGAGTCTGTGGGCACAGGCAAACCCACTTTCACTGTGGACGGCAATGCCGACTGGTGCAGCCAGTGGAAAGCAGCACGGAGATTCCTCAGAACACTAACACTAGAACTGACATACAAACCAGCAATAGTAATTCTTGGTATTTATTTAAAGAAGATGAAGATATTAAATGTACAGCTGTAGGTGGGTGTGTATGTATATGTATATATATACATATATGTATATATATACACATACACACACACACCACTGTGTCCATGCTCCATTATTTACCCTAGCCAAGATATGGAAGCAACCCAGGTGTCCCTCCATAGATGAATAGACAGGCAAGATGTGGTGTATGTACACACCGCAGGAAACAAACAATGAATGCTCTTGAGGCTGTGAGCACAGGCGAACCCACTTGCACTGTGGATGGCAATGCCAACTGGTGCACCCACTGTGGAAAGCAGCACGGAGATTCCTCAGAACACTAACACTGGAACTGACATACAAGGCAGCAACACCAATTCTTGGTATTTGTTTAAAGAAGATGAAAACACTAAATGCACAGGTACTCCTGAACATATATACACACACACACACACACACATACCACTGTGTCAAAGGCACCATTATTTATGGTAGCCAATATATGGAAGCAACCCAGGTGTCCCTCCATAGATGAATGGACAGGCAAGATACGGTGTATGTACACACCGCAGGAAACAAACAATGAATGCTCTTGAGGCTGTGAGCACAGGTGAACCCACTTTCACTGTGGACGGCAATGCCGACTGGTGCACCCACTGTGGAAAGCAGCACGGAGATTCCTCAGAACACTAACACTAGAACTGACATACAAGGCAGCAACACCAATTCTTGGTATTTGTTTAAAGAAGGTGAAAATACTACATGTACAGGTGTATGTGGAGGTGTATGTGTTGTATACACACACACATACACACACACACCACTGGATTGAATGCACAATTATTTTTACTAGCCAAGATATGGAAGCAATCCAGGTTTCCATCCATTTATGAATGGACAGACAAGGTGCGGTGTATGTACACACCGCAGGAAACAAACAATGAATGCTGGTGAGGCTGTGGGCACAGGCGAACCCACTTTCACTGTGGACGGCAATGCTGACTGGTGCACCCACTGTGGAAAGCAGCACGGAGGTTCCTCAGAACACTAACACTAGAACTGACATACAAGGCAGCAACACCAATTCTTGGTATTTGTTTAAAGAAGATGAAGATATTAAATGTACAGCTGTATGTGTATGTATATGTATATATATATACATATATGTATATATATATATATATACATATATGTATATATATACACATACACACACACACCACTGTGTCCATGCTCCATTATTTACCCTAGCCAAGATATGGAAGCAACCCAGGTGTCCCTCCATAGATGAATGGACAGGCAAGGTGCGGTGTATGTACACAGCACAGGAAACAGACAACCAGTGCTGGAGAGTCTGTGGGCACAGGCAAACCCACTTTCACTGTGGACGGCAATGCCGACTGGTGCAGCCAGTGGAAAGCAGCACGGAGATTCCTCAGAACACTAACACTAGAACTGACATACAAACCAGCAATAGTAATTCTTGGTATTTATTTAAAGAAGATGAAGATATTAAATGTACAGCTGTAGGTGGGTGTGTATGTATATGTATATATATACATATATGTATATATATACACATACACACACACACCACTGTGTCCATGCTCCATTATTTACCCTAGCCAAGATATGGAAGCAACCCAGGTCCATCCATAGATGAATAGACAGGCAAGATGTGGTGTATGTACACACCGCAGGAAACAAACAATGAATGCTCTTGAGGCTGTGAGCACAGGCGAACCCACTTGCACTGTGGATGGCAATGCCAACTGGTGCACCCACTGTGGAAAGCAGCACGGAGGTTCCTCAGAACACTAACACTGGAACTGACATACAAGGCAGCAACACCAATTCTTGGTATTTGTTTAAAGAAGATGAAAACACTAAATGCACAGGTACTCCTGAACATATATACACACACACACACACACACACATACCACTGTGTCAAAGGCACCATTATTTATGGTAGCCAATATATGGAAGCAACCCAGGTGTCCCTCCATAGATGAATGGACAGGCAAGATACGGTGTATGTACACACCGCAGGAAACAAACAATGAATGCTCTTGAGGCTGTGAGCACAGGTGAACCCACTTTCACTGTGGACGGCAATGCCGACTGGTGCACCCACTGTGGAAAGCAGCACGGAGATTCCTCAGAACACTAACACTAGAACTGACATACAAGGCAGCAACACCAATTCTTGGTATTTGTTTAAAGAAGGTGAAAATACTACATGTACAGGTGTATGTGGAGGTGTATGTGTTGTATACACACACACATACACACACACACCACTGGATTGAATGCACAATTATTTTTACTAGCCAAGATATGGAAGCAATCCAGGTTTCCATCCATTTATGAATGGACAGACAAGGTGCGGTGTATGTACACACCGCAGGAAACAAACAATGAATGCTGGTGAGGCTGTGGGCACAGGCGAACCCACTTTCACTGTGGACGGCAATGCCGACTGGTGCACCCACTGTGGAAAGCAGCACGGAGATTCCTCAGAACACTAACACTAGAACTGACATACAAACTGGCAACACCAATTCTTGGTATTTGTTTAAAGAAGATGAAAATATTAAATGTACAGCTGTAGGTGGGTGTGTATGTATATGTATATATATATACATATATGTATATATATACACATACACACACACACCACTGTGTCCAATGCTCCATTATTTACCCTAGCCAAGATATGGAAGCAACCCAGGTGTCCCTCCATAGATGAATAGACAGGCAAGATGTGGTGTATGTACACACCGCAGGAAACAAACAATGAATGCTGGTGAGGCTGTGGGCACAGGCGAACCCACTTGCACTGTGGACGGCAATGCCGACTGGTGCAGCCAGTGGAAAGCAGCACGGAGATTCCTCAGAACACTAACACTAGAACTAACACAGAAGGCAGCACACCAATTCTCGGTATTTATTTAAAGAACATGAAAATACTAAATGTACAGCTGTATGTATATGTATATATATACATATATGTGTACATATATGTATATATATACACATACAGACACCACTGTGTGGAATGCACCATTATTTCTACTAGCCAAGATATGGAAGCAACCCCAGTGTCCATCCATAGATCAATGGACAGACAAGATTTGGCATGTGTACACAGCACAGGCAACAAACTAGTGCAGGTGAGGTTTTGGGGACAGGCAAACCCTTATTCAGTGTGGGTGGGATTGGAGACTTGTGCTGCTACTCTGCAAAGCAGTATGGAGTTTCCTCAAAAAACTAAAAATGGAACTATCCCACAACCCAGCAATTCCAATTCTTGGCATTTGCTTAAAAAAAATTATGTTCTAAATACATGTGTATTTTCACCTTCTTTCATCCATGCCCCCAATTTGCCCTTGACAGCTGTCTTCCTGGTGCATGTGTCTATGCTCCTGGTTCTGCTGTGTTCATCAGTTTATTTTGTTCACTAGATTCTACATGAGTGAGATCATACGGTATTTGTCTCTCTCTGACTGGCATATTTCACTAGCATAATGTTCTCCAGGTCTATCCACACTGTCTCAAAGGGTAAGATTGTCTTCCTTTTTTTTACAGGCCCATAGTATTCCATTGTGGACATGTACTAATTTGTTTTATCCACTCATCTACTGTTGGGCCCCTGGGCAGCTTGTGCATATTAGCTATTGTAAATAGGCATGTCCTGGGAAGTGGGGTATAACCCAGACTGTGGAGGGAGGAAGACTGGTCAAAAATGTGGGAATTGAGGTGTGGGGAGGTGGAGAATTCTGGGAACAAAACACAATCATTTTATTTTGTCACAACTCCTCATCCACTTAATGTTTGTCCAGTTCAATGTAGGCCTCAAAGTAGAGGGTATGGGTTACTTAACATCCTGGCCAAAGCAACACACCTGAAGACACAGGTTCTTCAGAATAAAACAGATGCCTAATGAGGTTTCTAATCTTCATCCAGTTTTTCCTCCCCATTGTCAGTTGTAAAGGACTCATCCTAAGCCCACCACCCCCTTGTGCTTGCTTCCCCATCCCGAAGCAGGAAAGACGGCTTTCAGTGAAATGCTCATGAGAACTGGCCTCTCTCCTCCCACTCAGCCATCCCCCAACCTTGCCTCACCCCCGTGCCTCCCTCTACCCCCTCCACACACCCTGATGTGGCAGGGCAGGTGTCCAACCCCCATCCCTCCCCATCCCCCAACCTGGCCCCACCCCCTGCCTCCCCACGCCCTCCACACACCCTCATGTGGCTGGCGTTCACCGAGTGCCCACAAAGATGGGGAAACCACGCCTCTCAGAAAGCAGTCAAAACACCACTGGTTCAACAGCCAGGTGTTTTATTAAGGTGGTGGTTTACTGTTTACTTTTCACTCACATGGCGTATTTTCTGGTCCAAGCTCGAGCTATGCTATTATAGTTGTCCCTATCCTTTAAGTACATTCTCGCAATGGATGGAACTAAGGCGTCCTTGGGGTTGGGGTCACATAATATGGAGCTGATGGATAACAATACTTTGGATATTGTCAGTGCGGGAGACCACTGGGACTTGAGAATATCTAGACAGATATTCCCTTTTTTGTTGATATTGGGGTGGTATATCCGGGTGGTGAAATAAATCCGCGGAGGTTTGAAGGGGTAATTACAAGGAAAGTGTATGCTTAGTGAGAAGACCCCTCCCTCATAAGGGCTGTCATCCTGACCCATGACAGACCCCCTCCACGTGAACATATCATCGTTCACCGGCCCTGCAGAGCACATGGGAGGGGGGTCCTTAGTGATGTCCATCAGTTCCTTGTGCAGTCGCTTTAGAGCCCTGTAGTGGTTCATGGGAACGGGCGGTGTCGGGGCATCCTGATAGGGACAAAGAGGGGAACCACGTGTCAGGGGGGGCCCATGGGTTAGCATGGGCATGGCTTAAAGGGGCCAGGGTTAGAGGGGCAGCCACCCTCCAGGTCGGTGGGTAAGAAGGCTGGAGCCAGGCTGTGGGGGGTGTTGGGGGACAGGGACAGTGTGGGGAGTGGGGAGGAAGGGCAAGTTGGGGACTCAGCTGGTCCTGAGAGGCTACTACTCACCTGTGTCCCGCTGGTCTCTGGCTCCTCCATCCCTGGCTCCTCCACCGCTGACTCGCCCACTATGTGCTCCTCCTGTCACCTGTCTGCACCGGGAGTCTCTCCGCTCAGAGCCTGAGGCCGGGAGGCTGCGTTGCTCGTAGACACCGCCGCCCTGTGACAGGACCGACCGCTCCTGCGGGCCACCTGCCTCTGCCGTTGGCCTGGCCATGCACAGACAGAAGAGGATCTGCTCTGTGATGTCACAAGGGCCAGCTGATGACATCAGCAAGTCAGTGAAGGTGGGGCCAGGGGAGACAGGGGGCCTGAATGAGAGGGGATGGAGGGAGGGAGAAACCATGGCAGGGAATGGGGGGGGTGGAAGGCAAGAGGGTCCATAGAGGGAATGGGGAGTGGAGGGAAGGACTATGGAGGGGAATGGAAGGGAATAGAGGGGCTGCAGGGGAATGGGGGTAGGGGACAGGAGAGACCATGAAGAGGAATGGTGTGGGGTGGGGTTGGGAGAAACCTTGCAGGGGAATGGGAGGGTCGGGGCGTGGAAGGGACCAAGGAGGGGAATGGGGAGAGGTGGGAGGTGGGAGGGTCCATACAGGAAAATGGGGGGATCCTGTGGTATGTATGGAAGGACTGAACAGGGCACTGGCCTAAATCAGATTGGTAGCTCTGGTAAGTCAAGCTCCCTAATAGTTGTTACTTCTTACAATTATACTTCTTTTAAAAAAAAAATCAACCTTTATTGTATTTTTTACACTACCTTCTACTCCCCTTATACCCCCTCCCCAGCAATCACCACACTGTTGTCCATGTCCATGAATCCTTTTTCTTTTTTGCTGGATCCCTCCACCCCCTAATACCCACCCCCACTAGCTGTCATCTTCTATCTATGAGTCCATCTCTAGTTTGCTTGTTAGTTCACTTTGTTCATTAGATTCTGCATATGAGTGAGATCATATAGTACTTGTCTTTCTCTGACTGGCTGATTTCACTGAGCATAATGCTTTCCAGGTCCATCCATGCTGTCACAAATGGTAAGATTTTCTTTTGTATGACCAAATAGTATTGCATAAATGGCCCATAGTTGTTTATCCTCTCATCTATTGATGGACACTTGGTGCCACTTCCATATCTTGGCAATTGTAAGTAACGCTGCAGTGACCATAGGGGTGCTTATGTTCTTTCAGATTAGTGTCTTGGGGCAGCCCCTGTGGAAAGCAGTATGGAATTACCTCCAAAATCCAAGTCTTTAGTCCATTTTGAGTTAATTTCTGTGAGTGGTATAAGATAAGGATTTGGTTGCATTCTTCTGCATGTATGTATCCAGTTTTCCCAATATTTATTGAAGAGATTATTATTTCCCCAGCATGCTCTTAGTGCCCTTGTCAAAAGTTAGTTGACCTTATATTCATAGTTTACTTCTGGGCTCTCTATTCTGTTCCACTTGTCTGTGAGCCTGTTTTTATACCAATATCATACTGTCTTGATCACTAAGCTTTGCAATACAGCTTGCAAATGGGAAATGTGATGCCTCCAGCTCTGATCATCTTCCTCAATATTGCTTGGGTAGTTAATTTTTTGTTGTGATTTTATACAAATTTAAAATAGTTTTACATGTTTCTATGAAAAATGGTGTTGGAATCTTCATAGGGATTATATTGAATCTGTAAATGGCTTTGAATAGTATGAATTTTTTAGCAATATCAATGAATAATATCATGAGATGTCTTTCTAATTGTTTGTGTTTTCTTTAATGTCTTTTACCAATATATTACACTTTTCAGTGTACAAGTCCCTCAACTTGTTGGTTAAATTTATTCCTGATTGTTTTATGCTTTTGATGCAATAATAAAGGGATTGCTTTATTCATTCTGTTTAAATAGCCTTGTTAGTATATAGAAAGACCTTTTTGTGGATAGAATTTGTGTGCAGCAACTTTGCTAAATTTATCATTATTTTGGTGCAATCTTTAAGATTTTGTATTCATAAGATTACATCATCTGCAAACATAATTTTTGTCTTCCTTTCTAATGTGTATGCCTTATATTTCTTTCCATGCCTAATTGCTGTGGCTAAAACTTCTATTACTATGTTAGGTAGAAATGATGAGAGTGAACATCCCTGTCTTGTTCATTATGCTTAAAAAAAAGACTTAATTTGATAAGGTACAGTACCCATTTATGATAAAAACACTCAGCAAAGTGGGAGTAGAGGGAGCATACCTCAACATAATAAAGGCCATATATGAGAGACCTACAGCTAACATCATAGTGGACAGGCAAAAATTATAAGCTTTCCCACTAAGATCAGGAACAAGACAAGGGTGTCCACTTTCACCACTTCTATTCAACATAGTATTGGAAGTCCTAGCCACAGCAATCAGACAAGAAAAAGAAATAAAAGGCATCCAAATTGGAAAGGAGGAAGCAAAACTGTCATTGTTTGCAGATGACATGATAGTGTACATAGAAAATCCTATAGACTCCACCAAAAACTACTTTACCTAATAAGTGAATTTGGCAAAACCGCAGGATACAAAGTCAATGTTCAGAAATTCTTCAGTGTTTGTGGAGACATTGGAAGTCCTTAGTAGCAAAAGATGGATACTGCTGTGGTAGTAAGGTTTGTTGGAGCTCTCCTGCTCTCCTTTTCTCCATGGGATGAAATCCTTCTGAAGGGATCTCTCCAAGTGCAAAGCTTCTCTGACTGGTGGCTGGGGTGACACAGGTGAAAGGTTTTCTGTTTTTCTTTGTGGCCAGTTTTTTTTTTTTTTAGCTCTGCAGGGTTTCTGTTGCTTCTTCGTTGTACCATAGAACTTCCTAGATCTATTTTTGACAGTTTGTTGTTTATTTGGTTTTTTTTTTTCAGTTTTTGTGGAAGACAAAAGCATTGGGACTTCCTAAGTCTCCATTTTGCTGACATCATCTCCCTATTTTAAAAAAGTCATTATATTTTATATTATGTCTTATTTCATTCTTTCTAATTTTATTGCATTTATCAAGTCACTTAACATCTCTAAGCCCCAAATCTTAACCTGGAAAACAGGAACAATTGTACTTATTTCAAAAGTATTATTTTGAGAATAAAGCATGTCAAGTAATACAATATTACAGATTTTAAACATTTTTATTTGTATTTGTGTATGTCCAGATACCTTACTATACCCTTTGAAAACTTCTATTTGTTTCTGTTATATACTTCTTCAAATATGTTTGAACCAATTTTTTTAATCTTTGCTTCTCTAATTATACAGCAATGTCCTCTGTATATGTTTCCTCAACTGGGAAATGGGGATGATTTAATTACACCACCTCAAAAGAGACAAACAGATATGCCTCCAAAATTTGTCCTTACAGTTGTTGGAAATAAAGTTCAGTGCTTTTTTCTCCCCACCTTGTGTACACTTATCAGGGCAAGAAAGTCATTAGAATAAGGGCTCAATTCCTAACTAGAGACATTAGAACAATTTCATTAACCTCAAAAACATTATTTGGAAGACTATATGAAATAAAGCATGTAAAGTTCCTGCAACATGCTTAATCAATGCTAGTTATTATCCAAAGACACACCTACACCCTGAAAACCTCTTCCCTCTCCCTGCAATCAATGATTCTTTTTTTACTTCAAAACTCAGGTCAAAACCTTTCTCCTAGAGAAGGAGACAATAGCTTTCAAAGTAATTGGTGCACTGACCTATCCTAGTGAACAAAGGAAGCACTCATTTAAAAAAAAAACATATTTAAGACAATGACAGTAGGGCCTTTTCTTGGGCCAAGATAGCAAAGTAGGTCTTCAGTGAATGTTTTTCAACTGACCCACAAAATTTATTTTTTACAGTGGAGAAAGGAAACAGGTTTGACAATGTGGAAAAAGTTATGCAAATCTCATAGAAAAACATTTATAAATTTTGTGGTAAAACCCAGAGCCTAAAATAGGAAGTGAATTTGAATAGGTGAACTTCTTTCTCTCTCTAAAAATATTATTACTGTTCTATTATTATATAAGTAACACATACTCATTATTAAAAATATAGAAAATACAACTAATCAAAAAATTCTAAAAATTACTTAACCAAGAGATTACCCTTGTCAGTAATTGGGTATATGTACTTTCAGATGTTGTGTGTGTGTGTGTGTATGCATGTGCATGTGTGTACATGCTTAAAAATATTTTAAACAAACATTGACATATTATTTGTGGTTCTGTTTTTTGTACTTATACCTTGAATAACTTTCCATGATAGAAACTATAAGAATCTTTAAGGATTATTTTTATAAAGTTACTTTCCAATGTAACTTTTTTCCTACAACCTTTCAGTCTGGAAGAGCCCTTTCATAATGCCTACTGGAAACTTTATTCTTGTGTCAGTTGCAATATCTGTAATCAACCAATTATGTTACTTAACTAGGGGCCACTGTAGAACAGATTTTGGTCAAATGAAAAATCTAGGTATTGAGGAGGTATGAACTTCTCAAGTCCAATGGTCTTCTTTCTGCTTCCCTCAGCAGTCCTGAAATAATTTTCAAAAGTAAGCATAAAGAAATGGAATTTGCTTCACCCCTTCAGGGGACAATGACTCAGTTAAGAAATCTCTCTCTCATCAATAGTTACATTGCAGGTGCTCATCATAATTTTCTACTCTGTCATAAAAGTTCACTTAGGAATAGCCGGGAGGAGTTCCACTTCTGTGGGGATGGTGACCAAGAGAAGGTAAACCTCTGTGGTGGTAGAAGTGTTGTGACA